TCCCATAAAAAAAAGATCCAACAAAATGTGGAAATGATTAAACAGTGTCATTTTCTACATGCAAGAAAAATCTTGCAGAAGATTATTCTGAAATTATTACAGAAGTACATTGGCAAAGAACTCCCAGATCCCAGATATTCAAGCAGGATATAGATGAGACTGAGGCACCAAGAATATCAATGCTGCTGTCAGACGGAACTTGGCAAAAATCCAGATAACACCAGAAGGATCTCCATCAGTAATGTTTTGACTAAGCAAAGGCTACATGGATCACAGTAATTTTTTACTAACATTGAGAAGAACAAGAGTCTAAAAATGTTTAATTATGTGCTTATGTAGAACCTATACATAGAGATTGTCATGTTAACAGAGCGAGGGAATAGTATATTGTTTAAAATCTAGAAAGATGTACACTAGTACTGTATCCTTTCTTCATACCTGTTCAATCTGTATGCTAAACAGATGGTCTGAGAAGCCAAACTATGAAGAAGAATGGGACATCAGGATTGGAGGAAAACTCATCTACAACCTGCATTAAGAAAATGACAAACTTTTTTGCTGAAATCAAGGAGGACTTGAAGCACTTCCTGCAAAGAACTCCACCCTCCAATATGAATTATACTTCAACATCAAGAAAACAAAAGTCCTCACCCCTAGACCAATAGGTAATATCCTGGTAGATGGAGAAGAGATTGAAATTGTCAACAATTTCATCTCGCTTGCATACACATTCAACACCCTTCATACAAGCAGTCAAGAAATCAAAATAATAGTCACATTAGGAAAATCTGCTGTCACAGACCTTTCCAGAGCACTAAAGAGTAGTGAAGCCAACTTAAAGACAAAGCTGTGTGTGATTCGAGCCATGATCTTCTCAATTGCTTAGTATGCATCAGAAAGTAGAACAGTGTCTAAGGATGACATAAGAAAAATTGATGCCTTTAAGGCGTGATGTGGGAGAAGGGTACTGAATAGTCCATTGACTGCCAAGAGAACAAACATTTTGGAGAAAGTGAAACCGTAGTGTTCCTTGTAGGCAAGGATGGTGAAACCTCGTCTCACATACATTGGGCACGTTGTTATTAGGAGTCAGTCTTTGTAGTGAAGTATCATTTTTAGAAAAAGTAGAAGGTCAGTGACACAGTGACTGCAGCAAGATGTTGACATGAGCAAGTGTGTTGGACATGGTGAGGACGACATACGATAGAGCAGGTTTCAGATCCATTGTTCATAAGGTCATTATGAGTTGTATTCAGCTCGATGGCCTATAAAAACAGCAGAAATATAAAGATGGAAGGAATAGAGACTGAGAGATAAGATGAGTAAACTCAAACTTACAAATGAGAGGGAATATAGAGAAGTAAACAAAAGTAATAATTTAATTTCTTATATTTGGAGCTATAAACTGCTGTTTTGTGCCATCAAGTCAATTCTGACTCATGAAATAGTGGAGAACTACACCATAGTGTTCCCAAGACCTTGAAATTACACAAAGTTATGTTTGCTGAGTGTATTTCCTAACTGAGAGGGGGGAAAAACACCCCAAAGCAAAACAAAAGAATAAAACTTGAGAGGGAAAAAGAGAAAAGCTTGAGATAAGTAGTCTTTTAAACATCATTTTTATAGCAACATTAATGAGTATCCTATTTATATAATTTCAAGTGCCTTTACTTCCTTCATACTGTAAATTATAAATTGCTTCATGTATTATTTCATTCAAATATGTATATACTGTCCTGATTGGGTTGTCACTCTAATTTCTTTCCAACTCAATTGCTTTTGTAGTATCAGTTATCTACTGGAATTACATTTATCAAATGCTACAAGCCTCCAGTAATAGCTGATCTTTTAATTTTCATCTCCTTATATTTCTTCCTATTTCAGGTTTAAATTTATGCTACATAATCTCTTGGAATAGTTAGCACTGTTATTTCTTTTTGCCTTTAATTTTTTACTTTTGAGATGAACAGAATGTTTTTCCACAATTTTTTAGCTTTCAGTGATTATTCAATTGTTTTCAATTTTAAACTATTTTGAAATATAGGGATACAGATACTAATTTAAATGTATTTAAACAAATATTCACTGAAATTCCTTTTATATGACAGAAATATACATAATGGTAAATATTCCTTGCATAATATAGATAGGATTTTTAAAAAATTTTTCCAATTGTGAAGTTAATACATTTCCCTTAGCAACAAGTATGGTGTTCAATTATTATATTTCACACCAATGTAGAAGATATTTGAATAATTGATAGAATGAAACTATTTGGCTACCACTCCCGATATATCACCAACAAATCTTTCTAGTGGAGTATATCACTCTTCCTAAACAGACGGAATGCATTTCATTCATTGATTTTACTAAGTCAACAAATATTTATTGCAATTCTATTATGTGCTCTCTACTGAGATTACAATGAAGAGTGAGTATCGTCCCTGTGTTGTCTGAATGTTGATTCTAGTGGAGAATAAAACATTTTTAAAGCTAGTAAAATAAATTGTGATATAAGTTGTGATAAAATATGTATAATGAGCTTTGGAAGTCCACGACAAACATTCTTTCATCAACTTCCAGATAAAGTCTTTTTATCTTTACTAAGCATGTTCAGTACACATTTAAGAAGTGCTGCTCCTCACTTGCTGCTCCAATTTTTTCCTGAAGAGCAGGAAAGGTGGCTAATTAGATGAAAATGAATCTAGACTTGGCCAGACTATTCATGTTTTCAGATGGTAACAATATTTTCGTTTTCACAATAAAAAACAAGTCATTAATGCAAAAGATTTTGGGTTACTGTGATACTGAATTCTGTGTCCCTGGTATGTTAAATGCCATAAAGGTTACCCATAGTGGACAGGATTTGGTAGACTCCCAAAGTAAGACAGATTTGGAAGCATGATTGGCATCTACTTAAACAACAGGTATTCAGAAACTCTATGAACATTAAAGAAACAATGATAGTTATAAAACAGGGTTAAGATCTTTTGTTCATAATATCTCTAAGAGTTTACTCAGCTCAATTACACTTAACAATAACAACAATCCAAGAGAAAGAACTGGTGTGAAAAAAATGTATATGAACTTTATGAATTTTATAAGTAAACAAGTATAAAATTAAAGAAAAACAAAAATAAGCTAAAAAACCTTCAATTATCTAAGAGGTAAGAGTTAAATTTTAATAGAAATGTTTTTTTTTCCTTTAGTTACTTATAATAAAATAGCTTGGAATGAAGCTATTTAATGCAAATGGTTATTTTTATTAATAGCTATCAAGATAGGCATTATATGTTGTTATGGAGTGTTTTGTTCAAACATTAATTTAGGTTTTGTTGTCTTACTGCCTTGTAGCCAATTACAATATTTAAAAGAAAAAAAATCTAATGTATCACAATAGTAGCATACTAATAGCATGAAATTTTAGAACATTTCTATTAGTGTATACATCCCTTATCTCTCATAACCATAATCAAATGTCTCAAAAAAACAAGTTGAGGCTAAGATAGTGTTCACGAGGCCTTATTCAACCAAGAGTGAAATCATGGGCATGGCACTATCTTTATGTGTCAGAAGTTGATGCTAATGAGAATATATGAAATTACTGAACATATATTATTTCTAAACTTGGTTAGCATGAGATGTCCTAACTTTGCTAAGAACTTTCTTATGTTATTTATTTGCATGTTTTTCATTCACCCAGATTTGGATCCAGATTGCCACGATCATAGGCCCAGGAACCCCACACAAGCTCTTGCTGCAATATCCACATCATCTGAAAGAAAACCTTTGGATAAAAATCGCATTAGCATTATTTCAATCCGAAACTCTCTCAAGGAGCCATTGGGCTCCCTTTCATAAGTGCTATTCCCCTCTGAGTCCTATTAATGAGTAGGCCATGAACCACCATGGCATTTAAAGTTACTGTCTCTGTAGAGAGTAGGGGATCCAAACACATATTTGATCATTTGCATCCTCTGCCCCCGCAAAGCTCTTTAACAGCCTCCTCTATCTTGCTTCACAATTCTTCATTTGAAGACATACTATTTGCCTATGACCACTATTTTGTAATTTATCTATTGCATATAAAGAATGTTTCAAAAATTTAATTAAAAAAATAATAAACATAATATCATAAAACCACCATATATCAGAAATTCAGCAAATGTTCCTTTCATAATGTTGGCCACAGAATAGATATTATATGTGAACTTATAGTTTGCTGAATTCTAGTTCTAATGTGTTAGTGTTTGACAAACAAAACAGCAAAGAAGAAAATTGGCGTTTTTTTCTGTTTCAGAGAACTCTAAGAAATTTCTCCTATAAGTCATATTAAAAGAGACTCTGTATTATATAAGAGGAAAAAGAGAAACTTAAACAACTTTTTTATATTATTTATCCCGAATGACACTTATTTTTTTAAAAACTTTATACGGCATAAAAAGAGCAACCAGTAAATAAATTTGGGAGCTAAGGTGGTATAGCCAGAGTTTCACTGTAGGGAGTTACACTGTGCCTTTCTGGTGCCCCAAATCCCCTGTATGAGGGAGAAAGATAGGTAGTCCCCTCCTGTGATTTACAGCCTCAGAAACTCAGTGGAGTGTCAATGAGTGAATGAGTGAGTGAGTGAATATATAATTCAAAGAAAAAAGAACACACCAAAAAGCAAACAAATCCATGTGGTTAGGCATAAGAATGGATTGCTATACATTATGTAAAACACACAGACAAACAAACCACCCCCCCCAAACAATAAACATATAGTAGAGGAGCAATTAGAAGCAGAGAGATGTGGATGTGTAGGAGGAAGAGGGGATTAATCATTGGGTTGTACAATTTGGTGGCGGTTGGAGGGGTGAACGAAGTGGAAAGAATTTGTTCAAATTTATGTTTGAATTTTGTAAATAAACTAGTAGAAAAATTTAAAAAAATGTAAAAAAAATAAACTATCCCTTACAATTTTTAGATTCTAATTATTTCCTTTTTCTTTTTTATTTCAGGTATTCAATACTTTGTAGACACTGCCCTGTCTGCGTATACCTCTTATTCCTATTATATCAAGACTGCTAATGTGCACGGTTCAACAAGGAGTGCAGCTGTGACTTATAGGACGCACTCAGGCATTCCTCAGGGAAGCTTGAATTTAAGTTCTATCACTCCGATTAGCTCAGACTCTGTGCAACTTTCCTGGACTGCACCCTCAAACGCTTCTGGTCCTATAGAAAAATATATTTTGTCCTGTGCTTCTTTAGATGGTACCTGGCCTTGTGCTCCTTATGAAGGCTGTGAGACTTCAACTACCATCTGGAATCTGGCTCCATTCACCACATACCACTTCTCTGTGCAGGCGTGTACTAGTGGGGGCTGCTTGCATAGCTTGCCCATCACAGTGACCACAGCCCAGGCCCCTCCCCAAAGGCTGGATCCACCTGTGGTGAGGAAGATCAGTGCCACAGAACTTCATGTAGAGTGGTCACCACCGTTGGAGCCAAATGGTAGGCATTCAAGGTCCAACTTTCCCCTTCTTGGGAAAAACCATGAATGAGAACCTAGGGATTTGGACTTATATACCCTGAGAACTTGGCAATTGTATTCCTGTTTCTCACTGCACGATATAATAATTGATAATTTCTAAATATAAAAGACACTGTTTATTGTGGTCAGCAGAACAAGGTATTTATTTTAATCTAATAAAACATCCCATTCAATTTAATTGCTCCTTAAAAGGCTAATATTATCTTTGCTCTTAATGACATCTGCCACCATGCAAATGATGTTTATATTTTGACACTCACTTATGAAATGCATTATATTTGATTGTGTCACAAGTTAGAGCACCCCCAAAGAGTAAATTTTCTCTTTTAAGCAAAAATGAGATGTAAGATAATTTTTAAAAATGTATATAGGTTAGTTGACTCCATTAAGTTAATTTTGTGTTCTGATCATTGAACCCTTGGTGATATAGGGCAGACACACATTCACTGAGATTTTTATTAATTTACTATCACATATTTAGTATACCTATTAAGGGAAAAAATCTTAACTAGACTTTAACAATTACTTAATAAAAATGACATAGCCATTTTATTAAGTGTGCTACTTTTAAAATATACAGTACTTAAGCTTAATAGTTGAATTACAATCCCCAAGCTTGAAAACATAAAAATTATTAATATGATGATCAGATCCCCCCAAACTCACAATTGTTTGTAGACATGATCATTCATCATGAAAACTATTGAATTTTCCAATCATGGTTACTTCTTGTGTGTATGTTCTGTTTTGATTTGTTTTTCTTTTGTGTGTGCCTCTTGGAAGATTTTCATAATTCATGTATTTTTTCAGATTCTTGTAAATTATAGAAACCTAACTAGACCTCAAAAGAAATGAAGAAGTTATTTATCTAGTCAGAAGAAGGAAAAGTCAGCACTCTCACATTCCCCACCACCCCACAAGGTATCAGTTTGTCTAACTAATCAGTTGGTTCACTTTTTCACATTTCTAGGAATAATTATAAGTTATGAACTGTTCATGAGAAGATTGAATTCTAATGGAGAAACTGCGTCTACAGAAAGTAGAGTTTTTCAGAACAGTGGCTGGCTCAGTCCTTACCCATTTACAGAAACAGCCAATGAAAATGCATTACAACCACCTCAAACCACCACAGTCATCGCAGGCCTGGAGCCATACACCACATACGAATTCAGAGTCTTAGCTGTAAATATGGCTGGTAGTGTGTCTTCTGCATGGACGTCGGAAAGAACAGGAGAAGCAGGTAAAGAGAATAATAATTCTTCTTCTTCTTCTTCTTCTTCTTCTTCTTCTTCTTCTTCTTCTTCTTCTTCTTCTTCTTCTTCTTCTTCTTCTTCTTCTTCTTC